CGCCATTTTTCTTTAAACCCATAACCTTCTTTTTGTTTTCATTAATTAAATACAGCTTCTCATGAAAGGTGCTCCCAGACCATAGACTTCTGGAGTGAATGGTTTTACTTGCCTGCAGAATCACATAGCAGTGCAGGTAGCCTATCTTACCCCTCCGTAAGCAGGGACTTAAAAAAAAGAGCTCCTTTGTGAGCTCTAGGAATAATTAAGCCATAATACCCTCTCTCTTCAATCTTCAGGGATTTCCAAGGTAAATCCCACTTCTGCTTAACAGTACTTTTGGAGATATGTCCATGTGTCAATTAGGTAAAATTTCAAGTTCATCAAAGTGTTTTATTGAGGAAATCAAACCAGTTCTTACAGAAATTACTTTTGACTGCTAGCAATCAGGGGCTAGCAGACCAGGGACCAGTGGCCTGGAAATGAAAGGTTGTCTTTTTTGTTACCAGTTTTCTAAAACATTGTCTACTCCAACTGCTTACTTCTGGTATATATTTTGGATATTTGCTTTACCATGGCAGAGACTCTTCTAAAGAGAGAGGAAAAAAAGAGCAACCTGACTAGAAAGAGTTAAGACTTTAGCAGACATAGGTATTGAATTACATTATGTTCACATTTGAAATGTTTATATCATAATGGAAGTCTCCGCTTTTGTGTTTGTCATGGAAACTCAAAGTTAACGTTAATTATACACTATTAAAAAGCCTAATCCTTATCAAATGGAAATCACCTCTTTTTCCTAGATGAGAAGCTAGCTGACAGGTCTCAGTGATCTGTCTGTTATAGAAAGGCTATCACAAAAAATGTGCAACAAATTACTTTTTTTCATGGATACTTGGTCTGCTTTTCTCCTTGTGAATTAACCCCTTTTCCCCAAATGGCGGTAGTTATCGTAAATGTCTCTCTCTCCTTACTTTTTACTTTCAGATATGCATTTTTCTGTATTCTTTCATATGCTGTTGAAATTCTGTAACAATTAAATGATAAAATTAATTAAATGTAAATTACTTTTTGAAAAAGAAAAGAGAAAAAGGTTTTGTGAAAGGCTACAGAGTGCATATAATTTACCTCTACAATTGAAAAGGCTGCTTTGCTTCACTGTGGTTCCCTAGGGTAAATAACAATTTAAATATGTTTTGAAAAATTCATATAACTGCAGCAAGACAGCTTTCTACCCTATTTCTTGTGACTTTTCTGAGTTCTGTACATATGTTCGCATGCATAATTATCTGATGCTGACTTATGCAGCAAATGCCTCAAAAATGTGGGGCTTTTTTTGTTGCACCTGAACAACTTGAATGCACAGGCTGGTTGCTGGGCCAATTTACATTGGCTTCTTGCTGCAGAAATCTTCTCTTTTTTTTAAGATGAATGGGATTGTTCTGCAGTCATTAAGGTCTAGACCGAACAAGAAAGTTTTAATTAAAAGTTACTATTTTTAGACATAAGCCCACCTGTACTCATACCTGCTTATTTTTAGTGTAAACCAGACATTCTCTTTTAGATTAAATCAATTAGGACAGCATTTAAAATCCAATTTAAAGCAAAGCAACTGTAGCTTTCTGCAATAGTTTTTAAGTATTTCAACACAATTGCGCTTTATCAGATTTGAATGCTCTTTCTTCTTCCTGATAGTCTATAAGAAACTCCCACTGTCTTTATCAATTCCTTAATTATGAAAAGAAAAAAAACAGTACTTTCTGGCTGTGATGCTCATTTCTCAGGAGATTGGTGTGAATCACTTAACATATACACCTCAGTTTCCCTGCATGTGCAATGAGAATATTTTTCAGGGATGCAGAGAGGCTTAGTTACTAGGTAAGACTGTTAGCTCTGTCTGTAAGTTGCAGTAATACTGCAAGCTGTTCTTTAGCTATTAACTCCTTAGAAGAGGAGTAAAAAAAGGGAATCTGGCTCCGGCTTAAGAACAGCATTCAAAACATGACTGTTGTGATGATTACCTCTTCCCCACAAATCAGTTGTGGAAAATTGAAGTTTCTGTTAAAAATTGCGTGGCCATCAGAAGAACTGTGGATTCAAGAAATCTGGCACATTGAAGAAAAGATCGAAAGAGCAGTCCTCAGTGATCTCTCATTCAGAATGACAATATAAGACTAAGGAAATTTAGAGGAATATAGATTTTAGCTCTATTGATTTATGGAAAATCTAATCTTGTTAGGCTCAATTCTACCTGTAGCTCTTGCACAATTAGAAGAGGAATAAATCATTCCAGATTTTTCAGGCATTTCTGATTCTGTGGAGGCTGTAGGTTCCCTTGAAGTTGGAGAATTGAAGTCACCCTCGGACACTAGAAAATGTCACCTGGCAGCATCCTATGGAGAGAGACAGTGGGCTTCAAGGATGTGTGATCTTTGCGAAGTTGTACTTGCTAAGCTCTTCTAGCCTGTGCCTTATGGTTACAAGCAACTCTTAATTTATTTTATATGTTACTCTCTAGTTTCAGTGTCAGTAATATTTTTATGTTATATAGCAGAAGGGCTTTGTATGTTCATAGTAAATTTCTGGGGGAATAGTCCAAATCCCAAACAGTGGCCTTAGTAGCTGCCTATGGGCTGAGGAATACAGTTTCACTCCTCCAGCATGTTATCGGTGTACTTACTAGATCTATGCATTTATTTGGGGAGTGCATAAATACCCTTTACAGAGCCTTTACTATCCCTCTTCCTCACTGATAGAGTGTCCGGGAAGGTCTGACATCTACCTGAGACAAGCCTGTAGGCCTGGCATAGTCTCCTTACTCACACCCTCCTTTGTGCAAGAGAACAACATTATTTTATCCTCTGCTTTGTCTTTAGCAAAGATTTTCAGCTGGGATTTTAAATGAGAAGAGAAATTAATGAAGAAGAGGGATGTCAGAATAATGTTTCAGTTGGTAGGAGCTGCAGCAGAAGACGGTGTTGCACTGATCATGGCAACACTGTTCAGCAAGGCTAGGCAGGTAGGAGAGTCAAAAAAGGGAATAAAGACAAAAAGTCAGGTCCTTAGGACAATTTTGGTTAAGTAATTTATCTGATTAAAAATAAATTAATGAAAGTTATTTAATTTCACTTGTAATTTTTTTCTGTCATGTAATTAATCATTTATACATATATATATTTACACATGCACATGTATAAATATTTAGACATGTGCGCATATATATATATTTATATATACACATACACCTATATATTATAAAATATAGGGCCACAGTTAATTCTGCACCAGCCAATAAATAGCTTGTAATCTAAATCAGATAAAATTCTAAGTAGACATGGAAAAAAGTCTTTGCTAGTATTAGTCTATTAACTTTCCCTTACCTGGCTTGTTAAAATGTGGCTTGAAGCCCTTGATAGGGATTGTAATCACATGCAGTGACATCCTTTGTGTCAATGTTCGTAAAGACAAAGCTGATCAGTTGCATCCCTCCTGGAAGGTAATTTTTCGTTAATGTATTAGGGATTTGGTGTTGAAAACCTTATTGGCAATGTAAATGCTGTCATTATTTTAATGACAGTTTCAGCATTGGTGTTTGTGACAAAAGTCGTATTGACCCACAAGATAACTAGAAAGGAGAATGGGATTCTCGGAAAGGAAATCATTCCAAAGGCTGGATTTTCTGTTTAAGCTTAGCACGTCTATTCCTTAACATTCTCAAATTTTCTTATGTTCACGACATGAGAAATTACTCACTGTTAAGTTATTTTTACAGTAGTCACCTGTAAGTTATTGGAAGAATCTGCTTCAAGAGAAACACTTTTCCTGTGTTCTCTGTTCTGAAGTATTATTACTGGGTTTGTACAATTTGCAGTTATAACCAGTTCCAAACAGGGAATTGCTTATGAAGATCAAACAACTAATTTAAAAGCTATGTGAAAGCATTTACACTGTGAGCAAAGTGCAGGCCCTGTATCTTCTGCTCTGCTTAAGACTTGCATTTATATTATTAAGTATGTTCTACTACATTACTTTAGGAAATAGATTGCAATTTGAGTTACATATTGTTAAGTGTTCCATTTTTAAGTGTCATCAGTCATTGCTAAATCATGATAAATGAAGTGTCTTCAGGTGTTTTTAATTTTGTGTTCATTGTTTGTCTTCTATTTATGGCTTATTTACTACTGATTTTACAGAACGGATTGTTAAAACCTAACATTGATTGAGGTATTTGTTTGTGGGTTTTGCTGTTTTGAGGTTTTGGTTTTAGGCTTTATGGGTGTTATGTGCTTTGGTTAAGTCAAAAAATATTTCCTTTTGTTTTGATGGCCTGACTCTCTGATCACCTGTGACTTACTCCAAACTGTAGTTATATTGCATAGTGTGAAATTGGAAAATCTGTTCTGTGTGTGTTCTAATGGATGTGACGGTCATTAACTATATGAGTCTTCTGACGTTGTAATCAGATGTGATTCAGTCTGTTAAATATCCATGAAGCAACATCTGCTTCACAGAGTGACCTTCTGCTAAAGAATACTTAGCATCTATTAGCAGATCATAGTGCAGATCTGCCTTATTTGAAATGCACTAAACTAGAGTAGTCTACTGCTGTTTATTAACTAGCTTGTAATAATTTATTGCAGTTAAATAAAGCTTAAAAAACTCCATTAAATAATTATAGGGATTATATGCATTTCGAAAACCTTTGTGTTCTACTGAAATTACCCATTTAATTTCAGGGTTGGTTTGTTAAAAAAAGCTGAAATCTAAAGTCACATTAGGGGATCTGTCAGATGCTATTTTCTGTAGGTGTTAATAAAACCAGATTAAAAAAAAAACTGAAACAAATTAAAACCAAAAGCAATTTTACCATCTGTTGTATATTAATTAGAACTTGGTGTATCAAGGGTAAACTTGCTCTTAGAGAATGTCACTGAATGTCTGCTAATAAAATAATATGCAAATATATTAGATGATAGAATTATGTTGAATTTCTCATTCTGCTTTGGTTGTAGCAAATGCTAAGATGGTGTATAACGAACTTTAATTTTCTTTCTTCTTAGAACAACCTCCAAATAACCAAGGCCAGTCGACCCTGCAGCCTTTGCCACCTTCTCACAAGCAACATTCAGCACAGCATCACCCATCCATCACCTCACTTAACAGAAACTCACTGACAAATAGGAGGAATCAGAGTCCGGCCCCGCCGGCTGCTTTGCCCGCCGAGCTGCAAACCACACCTGAGTCAGTCCAGCTGCAGGACAGCTGGGTCCTTGGCAGTAATGCGCCACTGGAAAGCAGGTAATTACTTAGGTACTACTACAGACTGTGGCACTTCTAAAGAAAACATTTAACTTGATGAAAGATGACTAGCAGCTAATACTTCCCCTCATTCAGCAAACAAAACTGGAAACTTTTCAGTAATAAAAAATCTATCCTCTCTCTAAAATCCACAATGACACTCTTTTCCCTTACAATGCCTATTGCAGAGTAATTGGACTCAGAGAGTATATTAATTTTTCCAGACAAGCATTTTCCTTCTTGTTCATAATTTGTGACTTTCGACTGAAGAAATTTCTTGCCTTGCTTGCCAGATATGTTACATGTCAAATACATACTGCCAATACAGATTGAATGTCAAGGAATTTTCAGTAATACTTTTTAACTCTTGTACTTGGTCCCTTTAAAGAAATATCCACGTGAGGCTAAGTGTTTATTAAACTTGTCTAGGATTTGGTGAGACAAAAGAACTCACTCAGTTCTGGTAAAATGGTAAATTTGTCCTCATTCTTTTTTGTCTTTTAGGATTGATAACTGGCTCTAGGAAAGAAGCAGCTAATATAAAGGGTGACACTAGCTTCTTTAGATGCAGAATGATGTATGATGCAGAATGATCTATAAAAAAATTTTATAGGACTTACAGGCACAGAGCTGAATTTACCTACAGTGATTAATTAATACTCATGTAACACTCAGTCAGCACTAATTCTTTGTTAATGAAAGCCATAGTATTCCATTTAGTCATCAAACTGAGCATTTATAACTATATTGAAGCTGAAAGTAATTCTTGAAAATGTTTATGAAATCCCTTCAGTTCATTCTTTGAATCCCTTTAAATTATGTTTTGTAGTGAAGTAAAGATAGTCCAGCTGATTTTGACTAATTTAAAACATACATGACCTTAAGATTCTCTGTTAGGTAGTTTTGTCCCCACAGATGTTTCAGGCAACTCTTCTGTCAGGCTGTTGGGAATGGCTATTCCTTTTCTTAGTTTTCTTGGACCCTCCTGTATTGCTTATGCGACACAGACACTGTGGAATAGGATTCCACTGAAGGGATTTCATCATCATACTCAGACAATTTAATACATTAAGAAAGAGTTTTCTTCCAGAACAAATAAGTTTGTAGTGGGAATAAGATGTTTGATGCTTTCCAGACACTGGTTAATTTTCAGTAGACAGGTAAGGTGTTTGATGCTTGCTTCTATTGCCGTATATGTTTTTATTGTGTTTATAAAGAAAGAGACATAGGACTTGAATGAGAATACCACGTCCAACCTGGAGTAAATATTTTTTGCTGAGTAGAGTCTTTTCATCTTGTAAACGTTCCTGATGAAAAGCTAAGGGTATTTGAGTGTTCAAGTTTTGAACACTTGTGAATGAGCTGAAATGTGAAAATTTCACATAAAAACTGACAGAGCCCTACTGTAGTTTCTCTAATAGTCTCACTTGGTTGGAACTCTGGAGGTGAAGAACCCATCTTATTTGTCATTGATTTTTCCCTTTTTGGTTAAGGTTCCCTACTGAGTGTGATTCTTAGGCTCAGTTTCAACTATATTAACAACTTTGTGATAGGTCTCTTCCTCCATCCTTTTCTCAGCTTAAAAGAAAGTTTATTTCATCTTTGGCAATATTTTAGCTTATGCCCATAGTCAGCCTTTTTTTTCCGGCCCCCCTCTTTTTTTTTTTTATCTGACTTAGATGATGACCATTTAGAGGTACTGAATGTGGATGTCAGCATGTATACATAGCTATCTTTCTATCTCTATAGGCTCATATTGGTGATGGGTGGCATAAAAATGACATATAACTTGCTGTCATATATAGCTGGATAGTGAATAGGCTGTTTTTGTGTGTGCATGTAGGTGAGAGGGATGTGTTTGCAAAGCCTGAGGGAGGTTTTAGTCCCTATCATTTTGCAGTAGTGATAGAAGTGACTTCAAATGTATTTCATAATATTGGATTCAGTTGTATATTTAATAGGCTATTCTGCAATTTGGCTCTGTGTAGAGTTAATACTTTTGTGTCAAGCATTGCTGTTACTGGTTAAATGGATGAACTGTGAGGTGACAGATCAATAACGTCCATCAGAAATTCCAGTTTATGTTTTTTTAAATATAAAAAGACTCTGCTTAAAATTTTATGAGGGCCTAAAACTGTAATTTGGATTACATGACTGCTTCTTTCATCTTTGATGCCATCTTTAAATGACAATGAGGTTACTGAGCAGTGGCAGAAATTGTCTTCACTCTATTGGGGCTCAGTAAAATCTACATTTTAAAAAAAAAAAGCAGGACAGTAAGAAAATATTTCCTGCACATTTCTTCTGATTTCCTGCAGACTGCAGGACCTTTTCACTGGACATGATCTTTATTTTAATCTTTCCCACCCTGCTGTGAGTTAGGTTCAGCCGTAGAAGCAATAGATCTGCTGGAGAAGCCAGCACCATAGAAAAATACTAACTTTTGAAGAAATAAAAAAGCAGGACTATATTGAATAACTTTCCATTTTGTTCTTTGAATTACTGGTTGGACAGCCAAAATCATGCAAATGCACCTACATGTCAGGTGTCTGAATATTATAAATGATGATTAAGTAATTAAATATTAGTAGGTTTTTTATCATTGGTCTTTAAGTTTTTATTCACCTACTAGTTTTAGTAATGAGTTCTTGAGCACCAGGATCATTACTTACATTCTCATGGCTTTGCATTCCAGTAGGATCTAAATTACTGATATTTAAAAATAATCAGTAAATCACTTCTTTAAATGCTTTCTCTGTTAAATATTTGAATGTGCAGAATTCTTCTAATGCACAATCAGTTATGTATGTTAGAGGTGTGCAGAGGTGTGCGGAGTATGTTAGAATTCGTAAATTTGTTGATAAAAGTAAGCTGGTAGCATATCTCAGTGCATTTCTCAGACAATATTTCATTAATTTTGGGCATTGAATGTCTAAGATAAATTTGTTGGCAAGGGCAAATTTACATATTCCAGTCAGGGAATAAATCTCTGAGAATATTATATAACTTTATTATTATATATAAACTTACTCAGAATCTCTGCTAACATGTCTGTCAATCAAAGAAGAGCTTTGCTTTTTCTTACTTGATTTACCATATAAAATACCTCATTTTTTGAAAGATGGCTGTATTTTGTATGATGGACTTTTTTATAGAAATTTTTTTATAGTGAATTTTTTATAGAAACTAACCAAGAAACGTGTTTTTCATAGTCTATACTGGTACTGCTTAGTCTTCTCTTACCCCTAACTTATACTTAACAATAGAGTTTGTAGGAACGTTACTGTATTCAGTTACTTATCTACTAATTTTACAGAGAAGAAAGAGGGAACTAGTTGAAGAAATACTTGATGGCTGGAAAACATTTCAGCATTTTGAAGGATTTAATTAAAGTACTAGAATACCTCAGAAGTGGTACAGACAAAACAATTCCTAGAATGTCTTACTTCAAAAGCATTCTGCAAGCTTGATCCAAGCTTCGTTTTAGAATGCAAAGATTTTAGAAACTCATGAAGTGTGATGAACATACCCATATGTCTTTATTGGGGTGGATTGCCAATGAAGCTAGCGCCTTCAGTATTGATTAAGGTGTGGAAAGGGTGTTGATAGTTTCCAGGGAAGTTTTAAATCAATTTGTGTAGAGGCTGATTGATTGTCTGCAAAAGCATAGCGTTGCTGGAAGTTAAAGTCTGCTCAAAGCAGCTATTTTACGCATTCCACCTACTGAAACAGTGCCTGGTTTAATCAAATTCAAAATTGTTCCACTCTGTAAGTCTTCCAGGTTTTCACATTCGGACTTGATTAGACATGTTACTCATATTGAGAAGGCATGATACAAAATAAAGGCAGAAACTGGGGATGGAGTTCAAGTCCTGCTCTTCTGAAGACCCCGTGTATCATTGTGGGCATGCCACGTTGCTGGTCTGCAAGTGGAGGAAACAGGACTCTACTGAGATTGCTGAGAGCATGAATGCTTTTTTAAAGATTGACATGCCATAATTACAGGGTCCGTATATACACACGTTAGACACGTTCATTAAGTCAAACAAGCAGTATTGTTTTCAAAGACTAAAGTTGAATTAAAAAATTTCTGTTTTCTTTTGACATTCTCATGCAGTCGGGTGCTCACCAAGCATCTCTGTGTTTAAATCCTAGCACACTGGGCCCATATGCTTATAAGCTTCCTTTGGTGTGAATAGTGTCTTACTTCAGATTTGTTGCTTTATCTCTCTGGCATCCTTCCTGCTCAAAAATCCTTTGCTGTCACCATGAATACATGGAATTTGACCACACTGTGTATTTCGTCCCCTGTCTCTTAGGCAAGCACTGATAGTCCAGAATTCAGTAGTATTTGCACATTCCTTGGTTTATCATTCCCCTCTTCAAAGTTATGCAGTCATTGAAGCAAGCATGGACCCAAATTTTTTTCCAAAAGCAATCTTTTCCAGTTTTAGATAGGACAAAAAACATATGCAGTTCTAAACAAAATAATAATGCCTAGCTTTGTTTCTCCCCCTTCATTTTCTCACCATTCCCCGAGAGAGCCAGACTCTGTGGTTCTTCCTTTCCTTCCCCTGCTGCTGTGCAGTGTCATTTGCAGAACGTGAGATCTCCACTCTGGTAGCCAGCCCTCTGCAGATTTACTGGCTGACTGGCTGTGCCAGGT